ATGACTGAATCTGAGGACTATACTCTCTATCGAGGAACACTCTTATCCCACTGACTTCATGATGCACAGAGTGGCTGAGCAGAATGTAGAGTTCCATGCATTGAGGTTAACACCTGTTCCCCACTGGGCATTTGTAACGGAGCTCCCTGTACTCCGACCGAGTACCCTCCGTTGACGGATGCTCCTAGCGCTTCCTGAGGACTCAAAGCACTGCAGCAGACACCACAACCACCGCAGACTCCGCAACCGCCGTATCTGGGCTGGAGTCTCGCCGTCTTCCTTCCATCCTGGATCAGCTTCTGTCCTCCAGGACTGTGTGGGAAAGAACTCTTCCTTCCACCCTGGATCAGCTTCTGTCCTCCAGGACTGTGCGGTGAAGACCCCTCCTCCAAGAAGAGCGTGTCAGGAACAAGCTCTTAAAACAGCTAAATGATTCATGCTCAGGGGAGCATACAGAGCATAGCAATCCCCAGTGTGATTATAACGGCTCCCTCCAATAACGAGACAAGGCTACGTTTAGAGGGATCAAGAAGAACTGTCAAAACCTTTATTCCCTTGGGACCAGCCAATACAGTCACCACAATAACATTGTTGTGAAACCTCAATAAAATCACAAACAGTCAAACCATATCAAGAAACACACAGTGACCCATCACAACACAATGGCACATTTCCAAAGGGGTGGGGGGAGACAATTTTCAACAGTAAATATCTCACCTGCCTGCAGAATTAGCAATATGCAAATCTACCCGAATATGCAAATGAACCAGTCTTGCAATTCAGGTAGTGCATATTGCTGTTGCTACCAACAGAGGGCACTAGACCAGCTCCATAGCCAAACCCACCTAGTTGGTAGCAAACCTCAGCAATACAAGAGAGCAGGCAATACATTACACAGTACACACACACACTACAAACAATTACATTACACACACCCTGCACCTATAATGGGTACAGGGTGACTAAAACATAGGATAAACAAAGCAGCCAACACAAATAGTCTGTCTGAAGGTAGACCAGGGTCTTTAAAGCGAGATAGATGAAAGAGTCACAGTCACAGGGGAGGAGACTGGCAAGTAGGCCTCTCCAGGACCAAGTGGCGAAGGGCACTTCGTCACAGCATTGGACAACATGTGCTTACCACTTTTGTGGGACTTCAAACGATGCCTTCTCTTGTAGGTCCCTTCAGTTTGCACTCTTTGTGGATGGCCTAGCTGACCACCTGTGTAGGATTGCCTTATTGGGCATTGAGTCACTTGGACACCTTTGGTAAGTATGCTAAATCAGTTTGACTGTACAATCAGTGGGGATTCGTTAAAGTCCCCCATACACATGGAGCAGGTTTTTTGGGGGCCAGCTTGCTAATTGGTCATAATTTTCCCACTGGCTTCTAAGCAGTGCTCCCATCCTCTGGAGTCCATGGGAAAAGCTTGGATGCACTATGTTTGATGCTCTGCTCCCTTCCAGGGCCTTTAGTTACCACCCAGAACCAGCCAACTGGAAAGAGATCACTTCAGAACCACCATAACTCAGCTACAGATAAGTACTGACTGGGGTGTGATTGTGTCCCTTATGGATAATGGGGAGGGATACCTAGAGAGTCCCAGGCCAATTATTTGGCCATTTTTGTCCTTTTTATCATACTACAAGGTTCACTGCCCACAATGGGCTATTTTAAAGGGTGTGTTCTTTGGCATCCCCTCAGGGCCCTAGTGTCTCCTGGCCATGTCAATTTGGGCCCCCCTGAAATTGTGTCTGTCCCTGCTGATGCAATTGGTGCTGGGTTTGGGAATATTCCACCCCTCGCACGATCTAGCCCACCTGAGCAAATTGCATGGCTCCCGTGCTATTCCCTTAGACTAGACTAGAGCATATTCGGCACCTTCTTAATGTGGTTCTGCACACGCTTAAGATTATTCAGGCCCCACAGACTTTTGCTGGTGGTTCGGAAGTGCTTGACTAATATTTCCAACCATGGCATATACCTTTGCCCAAAGTGCTCTTAACATTTGTGTACAAAGATTAGGAGAAACCAAGCTCTGCTCTGGTTACTTCTGCCAAATTTGTTGATATATTTTGCAAGTTTGCCTGAGGAGGTTCTCTGGGAGTCTGTTCCCAAGGTTGATGGAGTGATGTGGTGGAACGTAAAGTTCCTTTCGGCTGTTTTACCTTTTGATTTGTTCGGGAGTTATTTTACCCAAACCCACTGTATTAGAGTCTTGAACGAGGACCGCCCCAGTACCCCATTTCATGCGGCCATTACTAGCGAGGCCAGCTGCGGTTTCCCTTGTCTTGAGTACGGGAAATTTTAGACCTTTAACACCGATGCCGGGAAAACTAAACACGGACGCAATGGACACTGTAACCACCAAGGAGAAGAAAGTTACTGAAACTCCTACACTCAAGAAACAAAAGAGAAAACTTCAGAATGGGGATACAGAAGGACTTGATTTGGAACATGTAACTGATTTAAATGGACTGGAAAATGGCGAGATTAACAACAATAAGACACCGAAACAGAAGAAAAAGAAGAAGCTTGCAGAAAAAGAGAGTCCTTCTGAAACCGCTGATCAATGTAATGGAGAGCAGAATGATAACAATGCTCTTACTCCAAAGAAAGTTAAGAAGAAAACGCAAAAAAGGGCAAAGCTGAAGATATAACAGAGCAAGAAACATCCTCCCCTAAACCTCAGGTTAATGGAGGGCAGAGTGGCAAAAAATCTAAACCCCAAAAAAAGAAACTGGCGAATGCAGAAAACGATAACACAGATAAGCCTGCTGACTGCAACGAACCATCAGACAAGAACCATCAGCCGAAGAAGACCCATCTGCATCAAATGCAACTTCAGGAAATGAAGAACCTAAATCAGATGATGAGGAAACTAAAATGGAGAAACTGGCTAGAGCTTTTGAAAATGTTCCCATTTCCAAAGAAACCATAACCAATCTCAGAGCTAAAGGAGTCTCTTACCTATTCCCCATCCAAACCAAAACATTCCACGCTGTATACAGCGGCAAAGATGTGGTGGTCCAGGCTTGCACTGGTACAGGGAAAACTTTTTTGGTTTAAAAATATCAGGAAGTATTACTTTACTGAGAGGGTAGTGGATGCATGGAATAGCCTTCCAGCTGAAGTGGTAGAGGTTAACACAGTAAAGGAGTTTAAGCATGCGTGGGATAGGCATAAGGCTATTCTAACTATAAGATAAGGCTAGGGACTAATGAAAGTATTTAGAAAATTGGGCAGACTAGATGGGCCGAATGGTTCTTATCTGCCGTCACATTCTATGTTTCCATTAGAACCATTACACCAGTGAACATAAGTACAAAAATGCAAGGGAAATGATTAATGAATGCTTCCCGAATGCAGGCAGCGGTACTTGGTCGTTGAGTGCCTGGAACTAATTTCAGCTACACACTTGCACAAACTCCGGCAAAGATTATACCACTGCCCATCCCACTTCCCAACCAGCTAGACGTTCTGGAGATGGGAACTACCAACTGGGGGGAGCATTCATTCCCTGAAACCAAGGGAATACCTTGTACGATGTTCGCACAGGAACCCCTGAACAGAGACCGGCCGGAACACCTATTTCCCTTAAACTGTTTTGGGCTTTCACCTCGTGGCCAGCTAGACAGAACTTCACCCCGGTTGTGATTCCATTGTACCAAACGGATGTGAGCGCTATTTGGCCAAGTTGGGCACTCAGACCAGGGCTATCCGGGGATATAACTCTTGTGTGGTTCCTGTTCATATTGGGGATACTTTTGGGGGATTGTGTAATATTTTGTATGTTTCCCAGTAACCGGGAGATAATTGAGTTGTAGTTTTCTGACTCAATTATCTCTCAGGCACAGAGGCTCCTGGGAAAAAACTTAGTATTTTTGTTATAGAGATCCCATGCTAGGGGTCAGTGCATAAAAGCCGTGTGTGGCCAAATAAGATCAGATGACTCCCAGAACTATGTATCGTCTAGTTACTAGGGGAATACAAGCTTGATCATATAAAAGTTCTAATCTGGCTGAGAGGAGAAGCCCAGTCGGGTTACCCGGGGTCCGCTACATGATTCCTGCTTTATTCAAAAAGACTAGTATTCACTAAACCAGTCCTCATGGCCCACCAACAATCCAGGATACTGACAAATCCTGTACTGTTGGTGGTTGTTTGTTTGGAAGTGCCCTTCTTTTGTTCCCATCTACTGGCAAAAAAAAAGTTTCTTATAGTTCACATGTGTTTTACATATCTGGGCCTAGTTTCATTTGTAACAAATATATTTATTTTAACAAACCACCTCTTTTACAGGTAGAATTTTGTCACAGATCTTATGGTAACCACAGTCTTCTAGGGTAATCAAAGTCCAGACACATCCAGCTCAGTTTTTTTATGATTTATTTGGTTGCAAAATATACAGGTGCTTCAAAATGAAATAAACAAAATTCCTTGCTCTTGTTTGAGCACTTACTAAACACAGTAATCACTATCTGGAATTGGGTGGCTTTCCCATTTACCAATTTACAATAACAAAATATGGTTGCAAGACACACCATTCCTCTGGCACTTTCTCCCTCACTCTGCATTACTTCTGTAATCATAACAGAACCTCCAGGTGCCATAAGGTTTTGGCACCAATACAGTAGGTCTGCTCCAATCACTCTGGGACTCTTCAATCACTCCAAGTTTTAAAAAAATTTCAACTTCTAAGTTTATAGCCTCCCTCCGGGCCTCAGGGATTCTATAAGGTTTGAGATTAACCCTTTTCCCTGGTTCAGTTATGTCATGTTTAATCGCCTTAGTCTTTCCTGGAACTACCAAGAAAACATTCCTATTTCTTCTGCTGAAATCTCTGACCTCTTGCTTCTGATGTACAGACAGAGTCTCAGATAGGTTCACCTCTGGCTCTACTATAGGAGGTGCTAAAAGGTTTTTAAGCAACTAGGACCTCCCTGTCTTTCCAAGGCTTTAAAAGCTTTATATGATACAACTGTTCAGGCTTTCTTCTTCCTGGTTGTCTGACTTTATAATTGACATCACTCACTTTTTCTATTATTTCATATGGTCCATGCCAAGTCGCAAGGAACGTGTTCTTGACAGTAGGGACCAGAACCAAGACCCTGTCTCCAGGTTGGAACACTCTGACTCTAGCATTACGGTTATAGCTGTTTTTATGAGCCTGCTGGGCTTCCAGCATGTGTTCCAGGTCAATGCGTGGCTTAAGTCTTGGTGCAGGAAGGAGGGTTTTGGGTTTTTAGAGCACTGGGCCGACTTTGCGATTGGGTACAACCTTTATAGTGGTGATGGATTGCACCTAAACGGGAGAGGGTCTGCAGTGCTGGGGGATAGGATGGCTAGAAGGTTGGAGGAGATTTTAAACTAGTAGTAGGGGGGGAGGGTCATAGCAATCTACAAAATGGAGATAGGACAGAAAGGAGATGGGCTTTAGCACAGTATAAGGGGGGTGGAAACGGGGGGAGGGGCAAGCTCAGAACAGAGAAGCTGTGTAATGTTGAAAATTCACAAAATATACAAGTGACGCATAATATTAAATGTATGCTTACTAATGCAAGGAGCCTAAATAACAAAATGGGGGAACTAGAGGCATTAGGCATACACTAAACAATATGATATAATAGGCATAACTGAAACATGGTGGGATGAGACACATGACTGGGCAGCTAACTTAAATGGGTACATGTTATTTAGGAAGGATAGGAAAAACAAGAAGGGTGGTGGGGTATGTTTGTATGTCAAACATGATTTAAAGCCAAATGTTAAGCAAATGGAATGCGAGGAGGATAATGTGGAAGCTTTATGGGTAAATATCTGCTTGGGGGAAAAGAAGGGAAACCAACTATTGGTTGGGATATGTTATAAACCACCTAATGTTAATATTGACGAGGAACAACAGCTGTTTGAGCAAATTGAGAAAGCTGCAAATCTGGGTAACACTTTAATTATTGGAGATTTTAATTACCCGGATATAAATTGGGACAGAGGGACTAGTGCCTCAGCAAAGGGAATTAGGTTTTTAAACTTGTTAAATGACACCTTCATGTCACAACTTGTACAAGCACCAACTAGAATGGATGCTTGTCTGGACCTGGTTTTAACAAACAACGTTGATCTTTTGACCAACATTCAAGTAGGTGAGCACTTGGGAAATAGTGATCACAATATAGTGTCCTTTGAAATAAACTCAAAAAAACAAAAGCACATGGGGAATACTAAAACATATAATTTTAAAAAGGCCAATTTCAATAAGTTAAGGGAAGCTTTACAATATATTGATTGGCATAAACTCTTTAGTGAAAAGAACACTGAGGATAAATGGATCATCTTCCAACAAATATTACAAAGGTACATTTCTCAGTATGTACCGTTGGGAAATAAATATAAAAGAAACAAATTAAAACCAATGTGGCTTAGTAGAGAAGTAAAACAAGAGATTACAACTAAGAGAAGGGCATTTAAAGCATTTAAATCGGACAAATCAGATGCATCTTATAAAAGATATAAGGATGCAAATAATGCGTGCAAAAAGGCAATTAGACTTGCTAAACTTCAAAATGAAATAATGATAGCTGAAGAGAGCAAAACCAACCCTAAAGCATTTTTTAAGTACATAAATTCTTAAAAAAACCAAAATGAAAGTGTAGGTACACTAAAAACTGAAACGGGGGTGTTAATTAATGAAGACCAGGAAAAGGCAGGAATTTTAAATAACTATTTCTCCTCCGTATATATTAAGGAAGAACCCATGTTAATAGATGTGCAAATGATTGCTACTAAAAACTTGCAGAATAATTGTAATTGGTTAACTCAAGACAAGGTGCTGGAGCAACTAAAGAAAGTTAATATAAACAAAGCTCCAGGGCCTGACGGTATCCATCCACGTGTACTTAAGGAACTAAGTGCAGAAATAAGTTAACCTCTGTTTTTAATCTTTCAAGATTCTTTTCTTTCAGGAAGTGTTCCGGAGGATTGGAGGAAGGCAGATGTGGTTCCTATATTCAAAAAGGGTTCAAAATCCTTGCCTGGAAATTATAGACCTGTGAGCTTAACTTCTGTGGCTGGTAAAATATTTGAAAGGCTATTAAGGGATAATATTCAAGAATTCCTTGAGAAGAACATGGTTATCAGCAAAAATCAGCATGGTTTTATGAAGCACAGGTCATGTCAAACTAACTTGATTGCGTTCTACGAAGAAGTAAGTAGAAGTATAGATCAGGGTGTTGCCGTGGATGTGATCTATTTGGATTTTGCCAAGGCATTTGATACAGTTCCACACAATAGATTAGTGTTCAAACTCAAGGAAATCGGTCTAGATGAAAATGCTTGTTCTTGGGTAGAACATTGGCTTAAAAACAGAGTACAAAGAGTTGTCATTAATGGTAAATTTTCAAGCTGGACAGAGGTGGCAAGTGGTGTCCCTCAGGGGTCTGTTCTGGGACCCCTTCTATTTAACATGTTTATAAATGATCTTGAAGACCGCATTGAAAGTCATGTTTCAGTGTTTGCAGATGACACAAAACTTTGTAAAACAATACAATGTGAGCAAGATATTACTTTGCTGCAGAGGGATTTAGATAGACTGGGGACTGGGCACTCAAATGGCAGATGAAATTTAATGTTGAAAAATGCAAAGTTATGCACTTCGGCGTAAAGAATACACAAGCAACGTATACCCTTAATGGAAGCGAATTAGGGATAACAACACATGAAAAGGACTTGGGAATTGTTATAGACAACAAACTATGCAACAATGTGCAATGTCAATCAGCAGTGGCCAAGGCCAGTAAGGTATTGTCATGCATGAAAAAGGGCATTCATTCTCGGGACAAGAATATCATTTTGCCTCTTTATAAATCACTGGTAAGACCCCATATTGAATATGCTGTGCAATTTTGGGCACCTGTTCTAAAGAAGGATATTATGGCACTAGAAAAAGTGCAGAGGCGGGCTACAAAATTAATAAAAGGAATGGAACATATCGGCTATGAAGAAAGGTTAACAAATTTAAACCTATTTAGTTTAGAAAAACGTCGCCTGAGAGGGGATATGATAACATTATACAAATATATTCGGGGCCAATACAAACCATTGTGTGGAAATCTATTCACAAACCGGACTTTACATAGGACACGAGGCCATGCGTTTAGACTGGAAGAAAGAAGATTTCGTCTAAGGCAAAGGAAAGGTTTTTTTACTGTAAGAACAATCAGGATGTGGAATTCTCTGCCTGAGGAAGTGGTTTTATCAGAGTCCATACAGATGTTCAAACTGCTACTAGATGCATACTTGCAAGAACAGAATATTCAAGGATATAATCTTTCAATGTAGGGTAATAACTGCTTGATCCAAGGATAAATCTGACTGCCATTCTGGGGTCAAGAAAGAATTTTTTTCCTAGCTTGTTGCAAAATTGTGCTTCAAACTGGGGTTTTTTGCCTTCTTTTGGATCAACAGCGAAAAACAAATGTGAGGTAGGCTGAACTTGATGGACGCAAGTCTCTTTTCAGCTATGTAACTATGTAATAGGCATGATGGTGGCCATTTTATCCTGCATTTGAGCTATATGCTTAATTATACTCCTGTGAGGAGTAGTCTCCTGTTCCCAGGTCTCCTTAGCAATATCCAGTATTCCCTGGGGATGTCTTCCATATAACAATTCAAAAGGAGAAAAGCCTGTGGAATTTCTCTAATGGAAAACAGTAGATATGGCAATAAAAAAAATCCCAATTTTTTTCATTTGCATCAGTTACCTTACATAGCATACTCTTAAGGGTTTTGTTGAACCTCTGTACTAAACCATCAGTCTGTGGGTGATATACTGAGGTCTTCAGATGTTTAACCTGCAAGAGCCCCTGGTCTGTCAGGATTTCTTTAGGGATACCCACCCTACTGAACATTAACATAGGTTCCTTAGCTATTAACCTTGCAGAGGTATTACGCAAGAGGATGGTCTCAGGGTAGCAAGTTGCATAGTCCAAGATGACTAGTATATACTAGTGCCCCCTAGCGGACTTTACCAGTGGCCCCACTAAGTCCATAGCGATCCTTTCAAAAGGCACATCAATTATGGGTAAGGGTACAAGTGGACTATGAAAAGTCTTGAAAGGAGTCCTGTACTGGCACTCAGGAAATGAGGCACAATAGTTTGTTATAGCAGCAAAAACTCCAGGCCAGTGAAACCTTCTAAGGACTCTCTCTCTCGTTTTTTCGACTCCCAAGTGTCCCCCTAATATGTGGCTGTGAGCCAACTTTAGTACTGTGTTTTGGTAAGTCTGGGGAACCAACAGCTGCTTAATGATATCTGAATCCTTCTTTTCTACGCTGTAAATTAGGTCATTTGTACTTCAAAATAGGGGAACGGCAGTGCTTCACCTGGCTGATTAATATCATTTATAGCTGTCACTAAAGTGAGATCTTCCCACTGTGCGCTTTTAAAATTACTCGGACTGATGCCAATATCAATTAAGTCATCGTCCTTGTCTGAAGTATTAGTAGGCTCCTCACTAGTTTGAGCTGGGTTATCTCCTAATAATACTGGTTTAGGGCAGTATCTTTTACTTTTTCTTATTTGTCTGTCACAGTGGTCAAAACCCAAGTCAATATCGGTAAAAGGGAACACATTATCCTCGGCAGATTGACTAATTTCTGATAAACTTTGGTTTGTCTTTTGTACAGCTGCCCATAATTCTAGAAAATGAGGAGTCTCTACCGATCACTACCTCATGGGCTAATCTAGGTACTACACCCACTCGGTACTTTAAATCTCTATACTGGGTTCCAATATTTACTTCTGCAGTGGGGTATTCTCTTTTATCACCATGGACACAAATAATGCCTATTTTCTTAACATGATCAGGTTTTACACAAGGTATTATAGACTCTGCTACCAACGTAACCATACTACCTGAATCATGTAATGCCTTAGACATTTTTCCATTGACAGTTGCATAGCATTTATGAGGGTTATTATCATGGTCATTGTTAACAGCACCATAACAGTTGAACAAAAATGAATGTGCTCCCTCATCTTTGCCCATATTGCATTCCATAGGTTCGTCCTTCAATGATTCATCCAGTCCTTTGCCATATGACCATCCTCTTTGCACTTGAAACATATGACAGTACAATCTGACCACCAATTAGTTCCTCTCCCAGGCCTGTTAGACCTGAATGCCCCCCTGGTTCTTGATGTATTGTCCCTGGTGTTTTGTATATAGAGCTGCAGCTCTTCGGCTCCCCTTAAACCTTGAACAGTCTTACCAGGTCTTGTAGAATCTTGGGCATAGGATTGCAGGGGTTTTCCTGTGAAGGGGGACGTAGCAGTTCTCCTGCAGCCACATATCTTTCCACCAAAGCAATCAGCTGGTCTGCTGTATGGGGATCACATTGGCTGACCCAGCGACGCAGGGCACCTGGTAAACCATGCAAAAACCGGTCCATTACTAAAGGTTTCCACTATGTGGCTAGCTGAATGGATTTCAGGTTGCAGCCATTTCCATGCGAGGTGTATGAGGTCAAACATTTGGGAACGTGCGGCTTTATCAGAAGAATATGACCATGAATGGAACCTTTGGGCACGTACTTCAGGGGTTACACCCAGTCGTGCCAAGATTTCAGCTTACAATTTGCTGTAGTTACTTGCATCCGCTGGTTCTAGGTCATAGTATGCCTTCTGTGGCTCTCCACTTAGGAATGGTGCCAGTATGCTTGCCCGCTCAGCCGGCCATCCCTCCCTCTCAGCAGTGCGTTCAAATGCCAGAAGGTATGCCTCAACATCATCTGATGCAGTTATTTTCTGAAGGTAGTGGCTCGCCCGAATCACCTTTGGCCCCTGATATCTTCCATCAGGGTCTCCATTCAGCTTTTCAGAGAAAGCTTGGATTTCCTGTGGTAGTCCCTGGGTGGCTTTTTACTGCTCCTCGCGGGCTACTTGAAAAATCTCAGCTTGTGTCACAGCAATCTGTTTTACCAAAGACTTAGCACACTTTGCCTGGGCCAGCACCAGTTGCTGCAGGGCTGCACTGTTTTCTGCAGCTCTCCTGTTAGTCTCCTGTTGCATAGAGGTGGATTGGATCAAAGCCTTGATAACATCCTCCATGTTGAGCTTTAAATTACTTCTACCCTCAGGCTTACGTGGCTGCCCGCATTCTCCACCATATGTAACAAACCACCTTTTTTACAGGTAGGATTTTGTCACAGATCTTATGGTAACCACAGCCTTCTAGGGTAATCAAAGTCCAGGACACATCCAGCTCAGTTTTTATGATTTATTTGGGGCAAAATATACAGGTGCTTCAAAATAAAATAAACAAAATTCCTTGCTCGTTTGAGCACTTACTAAACACAGTAATCACTATCTGGAATTGGGTGGCTTTCCCACTTACCAATTTACAATAACAAAATATAGTTGCAAGACACACCATTCCTCTGGCTCTTTCTCCCTCACTCTGCAGCAGGCTGATCCCTTCTTTTAAAAGCCTGCCTGCTAATTGACCAGCTACAGATGAGCATCAATTAGTTCACATCTCTGAGTCCTGTTACATAGCAACTAGTGCTATTGGAGCACTGACCCACCCTGCTCTCCAAATGCTCCGCCCCATGGACCCTTACCGTGGTTTGCAGAGTACCAGCAATGTATCTTACAAACCTAACCTCTCTCCCTGGGACATTTAATTGAGAAACCTCAGGCTGCTGTTTGGTAAAGCAGGCCTAATATATCTTCCCTCAACAACCATTCCAGTTCTCCATCGATATTAAGAGGTTGGGAGACGCACAAGGTGAACCCCGGCTAAGAAGTCAAACTGTTCTAAAATAGTTGGACTACTTACAAGAAGAGGGGGGTTTGGCACTGCTATCACCATAATCACTACAGTACAGTGATTATGGTGCTTGTGGACCGTTCCTTTAAGTAACCAACCTGCCGTTTAATTAATTTGTTTTTCTGATCATCAATTGTTGCCCCCGGCGTTTCAATTCATTATAAGTGATATTTTAACGACGCATTTCTCCTATACACTTTTCTGCCACAGGTATAGCTAAACGGCTATGAAAACGCCCGGCTAGGATTATTATAATGGCCAGCCCCCTCTCCCAGCCAACTAAACATGTAACTATCGCAGCGACCGAAACACGCCTAACACGTTACTAGTCGGCTTGGGCTGACGCGGCACACGCACGCGGGTAATACTTCCTGTCACGAGGTATTCAATTGGCCGCCTATTAGTCTCCATAGCAACCCGTAACGCCTTCGCGTTTAATCCCGATGTTGATTGGCTGCAGACCCGGAAGTCACGGATCAGCTGATTTCATGTGATCTACTGATGGAAAGTTTTTAACGCGGACTCCGTGGGGTAAACATTGGGGGTCTCTGGTCTTGTTTTACAGTAGTCAGCGGTACCGAGTTTTAGATGGGGGTACTGACAGCGCGCAATGCTGGACCAATGGGGGCTCTGTGACAATGTAAACAATGTATTGCCAGCCCGGGGCCAGCCAGCCAGCCCAGTGCCAGCCACCCAGGTGTATTGGGTGTATTGGGATATAGCCATGTAGACTCTGTTAGCTGAGCCTGGTTCGGGGGGTTAGGACTGGCAGACCAACAATGTTTGCCAACCATTACCACTTCTTAAAGCTGGTGGGGAGTGCATGAAAAGTACTGCCATGTTAGCATTGGTAAACGTATCGAAGATGATCCGTTATCTAAATCCAAAGTACTGAATATTTACCTTATATACTGACTATATATATATATATATTTAATTGTCAGATGCTCATCTATTGCACCTTGTATTATTACACAGATTGTTTTATACTGCATTCATAGTACAACTATGGCTGTTTGGCATATTACCATGTGAGCTGCCTTACATTCTTCTGTGTCCTGAAGAAGCCGTATTGAATTTTGATAGGTATGAATTAATTGTAATGCAACTTAAATATTAAAATCTATTACAGTTTCTTTGTCTAGTTATACAGACATACACAAGTTATTAATTATTATTTATTTTTTTCTGCTTCAAAATTAAAATGAACCTTATTCCATCCAGTGAGGAAATGTCCTACATACCATGTGACATAGATTTTAACTTCAAAGGCTTCAGCTTCCATCAGGAGAAGTGCAGAAAAGGCTGTGGGTTCTATGGAAATCCTATCTGGCATGGGTACTGCTCCAGGTGTTGGATCCAGCAAAGGCAAAAGTCACAGACTCATCCCCTCACAGACGGGTACAAAGATATAGATGCTCTTTATCAACTTGAGTGATAAAGCTGATCTTAAGTTAGTGATCTTTTAGGACCTTCACCATGTACCTGGGCCAATTTGACTGTCGTGTGTGTGTGTGTGTGTGTGTGTGTGTATATATATATATATATATATATATATATATATATATATATATATATATATATATATATATATATATATATAACCGCTTGCACTCATGGTCTTTTTAAATAAAATTTCCATGCGTTATTGAAGAAAATTTAAAAGTTGTGGATCAACGTTTCACTTTTTATGATCCTGAGAAAAGTCCCAAACAGGGACTGAAACATTGATGCACAACTTTTACATTTTCTTCAGTAAAGCATGTAATTTTAATTTAAAGACCATGGCATTTTAATTTAAAGATCATGAGTGCAAGCTGATATATATATTATACATACACCCCCCCCCCTCCTGGCTTGACAGGTACATGGTGAAGGTCCTAAAAGAAGATCACTAACTAAAGCATGGAAATGCCAAGTAAATTTACTAAATGACTAGAATTGTACTGTTTTACATGATTTCTACAGCAGCTGAACTATTTCTTTAGTTTTGGATGGCAGTAAAATAGAGTTTTTTTAATTCTTTTATATATAATATAAGTGTATGTCTTTTTATGTCAGTTTTCCATTGGTTGTATGCTGATAAACTCTTGCTTGCTAGAAATTGTCTGGTGTTGTAGCCCGAATAAAAGTATTACAAACTAAGTAATAATCTCCTCTTCCTCCATCCCCCTTTATTTTAAAAGATGTACTTGCAAACCAATTTACAATAATTGTAGGCTGTTCTTTTATAGCATGTGCTCCAATATATTGTCTTAAGACATGTGCAGAAACATATATGGGGAGGTGAGTTTTGTTTTTGGTTTCTTGTAAACCTCATGCCTAGACTCCATGTACGTGTCACTACCACTGTCTATGGCACAGAAAAATGTCAGCCTCCACTTCTTGGTAATTTAAAGGGACACTATAGTCACCAGAACAACTACAGCTTAATGTAGTTGTTCGGGTGAGTATAATCATTATATGCAGGCATTTCCATGCAAACACTCTCTTTTCTGAGAAAAGGCAGTGTTTACATTGCCCCTTGGGACACTTCCAAGTGGCCACTCCTCAGATGACCACTGGAGGTGCTTCCTAGCTCAGTGCTGCATATTAGGCAGCAGTGCAGTTCAGCGTCTCCATGTTCTGCATGGGAAGGCTGAATTTTACTCATGAGGAGGTGCTGATTTGGCCAAAACGACGTTTGTTCCCGTCCCCTTGGCGATTTTAGCCAATCCAATGCTTTCCCCATTTCAGCTCATTAATAGAATTTATTTTGTACATTAGGTTTGGGGCTATTTTGCTAATCTTACCTGATTTTAGTAATATGGTACAAGGGTAATCAAGTCAGTAATTTAATATTGGTCCCAGTTTCAGGCATCACACTGCAATACTCAAGGTAAAACCTGAACAAAGAAGAAATGAAGACCTGTGGAAAATACCAGATACCGCTAGAAATGTTACCAGTAATGATGGATTTCCTCATTCTCACATTACTTACAGATCTCTACCTGTTGCAGATAGCCCAGGTATGTTTATAATTCTTTTTTATATAATAGACATTTGTTTCTCCATATATTAATATACTTTTTTTTTTCTGGTGAGAGTAATGCATGGCATAGAGCAGGACTATAATTGTATATGTGGCATAGTATGTAGAACTGGAGAAATCTACACGTACTTTAAGACTGCAGTGAAATCTTTTGAATTTTAGTCACCCTTAAAGAAGAATTGTGTCCCTGGCTGAACTTCACAGAAGTTTTCATTTTACAGCAACTGCAAACTGGCTACTAGTGACTTCTCAATTATTAGCAGGGTTATTCATATGCCAGCTGATGATAAACCGAATGCAGCTTAATGAAGTGGTCTGGGTGCCAGGTCCAGCTAGGGTTAACCCTTTTTTTTTTTTATAAACATAGCAGTTTCAGAGAAACTACTATGTTTATAAATGGGTTAATCCAGCCCCTAAAGCCTCTAGTGGCTGTCTCATTGACAGCCGCTAGAGGCGTTTGTGTGCTTCTCACTATGAAAATCACAGTGAGAAGACGCCAGCGTCCATAGGAAAGCATTATGAATGCTTTCCTATGAGACCGGCTGAATGCGCGTGCAGCTCCTGCCACGCATGCGCATTCAGCCAAAGAGGAGGATCGGAGGCGGAGAGGAGAAGGAGAGCTCCCCGCCCAGCGCTGGAAAAAAGGTAAGTTTAACCCCTTTCCTTGCCATCCAGCTCGGCGGGAGTGGGACCCTGAGGGTCCTTTAAGAAGCGTGCGAATTGCACGGGACTCAGGCCAGATGGTGATGCGTCAGGGTTTTTGGACTAAAATATAATACAGCTATATTAACTGTAAGAAAAAAAAGTAGAGCTTGGTGCCTAGCTTAAGAACACCAGTGATTTTTAGAAGAGGGTAAAGGTATATGCAATCCCCTTCCCACCAGCGTCAATGCCTTCCCCTCACTGGTAGACATCAAGGAAACTGCAGGTCCAACCTTATTGTATACCCCATCCAAGTGGTCCCCAGAAAAATAAAGACAGAAGAAAGAGGAGAGAGGAAAGAGGGGTGGTGGTGGGGGGGGGGAGGGATTTAGTCACGAGGGGAGCAGGGGAGGTGATGGGGGGTGTGAAAAAGGAGGCCACGTGACCGCTCTGAAAAGCGCCTGTAGATTTTTTGTAATTCATCCAAACTTACTTCTCCATTCTAGAGTAGGCCCATCAAACCCCAGGTTTCAGATTGCCACAATAACCAATAAATGACTCCTGATGCTTAGGTGTATACTGTGTGTCGTGTATTAAGCTGGATTTGGATGATGAACAGCATTGTGAAATACATACATACATACATACATACAGACTGATGCACTCACGCAGTTTTTGGGGGGGATTTTTTATCTTATTGCATGTAACTTTATACGTGAGTATAAGACTATATTCTAGAATCTTTTGTATTTTAAATTTTAGAATTTATTCTTTAGTTGCGTTGTGATTGCATGATATCCATTCTTAATTTTTACATGTTTACTGATCATTAATTTGTCTATAACTCAATCACTGGTGTGTTGTCTGTGCACTTTAAAAAGTCAAGGATTTTTTTTTGGTAGCTTCACATTCTTTTTATTAATTGCATAAATTTAGACCTATTTTATTTCTTTGAGATAATATATAAATTATGTACATTATCAGTTTGACCATTAAGCGTTACCCTTTTTTTGTTTTCTGGGAGGTGCCTAAGCAAGAGGCAAACCTACATTAAAATGGGACATGTTAACTTTACTGGCTAGCCCCACTCAAACTTGCCTATTCCCAGAACACTATAAAAGTTCTCTACTTATTAAGCTGTGCTGTACTTATTAGGGTAATTTCTGTGGTGCGCTCAGAAGAACACCGGAGAGCTAACCCTAATAATAAAAAACCCTCATCTAGGCACTAATCTTATTTGTTGTTTTTTTTTAAATACATGTAATATAAAATCTAGATTGGGCCATTGCATCCGAGTACTTTAGAGAAGTTCTAAGGGTCATATTCCCTGGCGATAAAGGGGGAGTTCTGGATCACTAGGGAAGTGAAGAGCATGAGGTCTTCACCTCTGGAAGGGAGCAATTACCTCGTGGAGGTACTCACTCTGCCTTGAATCTGTCTCTCTGTAGCAACCTTGCCTAATGCCTGCAGCAGTGCTAAAGTTCCAAACTTTGCCTGCTTGACATCAGCAATACCAAATCCACACCCCTGTGAGAGAGCTTTAAAATTATTGGATTGGCTTTCACCATTCTTGGTACAAAGAACGGTAGCTGCTTTGTTGCTTAGAGCACCCTTTAAAAAGTTAAATGAAATAGTACTAATTTTGTTTTCAAAAAATACTTTTGTGAAAGTAATTTTAATAAAGGTCAAATGGGCCAAAAATTGTAATAAGAGAATGAGCGTGTTTTTTTGTTTTTGTTTTTTTTATTCTTTATTTTTGCATGACAACAACAGTGACATAGAAATTGCATTTTGGCTTGCGCAGAAGCCCCTATACAACGGTGTAAGAGGTGGGGTTGCTCCAAGGCGAGCGTGTTTTTTTTTTTTGTTTTTTTTTAAGGCAAATAGCATGTGAATCAGTGTAAATTCTGCAATTTCCTTCACTGTGCTTCTAGGTGGAAAAATGCAAAGGGCTGTCACTGTTGTATGCAAGGTACAGCTGGCTGTGACTGAAAGTGACTGGTACATCAACAGTCATGTTACTTTTCCATTCAGACTCTTGGACCATGGTGTGCATTGACTCTGCAGTTGCTTCAGCCAAAGAAGAGAAAAAAAAAACCTTTGTTTAATAGCGGACAGGAGGGTTTCTAGTTGGTATCTGCCAACAGTTTGTAATTCTAGTTTTGACATTTTTGCATGTCTTCTGTTCTGAACTTGATCAGACTTGTGTATTATGCTATAGATTATGTTAAGTAATGTGTGAAACTCATATTCTAGACTTACATGCAGTGTTATCTCACAGGTTCTCTATCTCTCTTGACCTTTCCTTGCCTCCACGCTTTGGCTCAAGGGGACTTCTCTGACTTTCTCAAAGCTCTTCGAAGGCCTGATGCACAGAACCTAATGACACACTGCACACGTTTCATACAGAAGCTACAGGATACTGAGGTGAAATTTGTAGAGTGATAACATTAATAGAAGTAAAACTCTATTAAAATATTTTTTTTTCCTGATAAAGTAGTGAAATGCACCCAGAATATTCATTGAAGGATTGCTACAACCAAAAAGTGTTTTAATAAAACACTATTTTAATTGGTGTTACCCTTGCTGGCTTGGTCCCCCTGTTTAAAAATGAAAAATAGTAATAAAGAAATAAAGCAAAAATGGATGTGTGATCACACGCTGAGGTCATTTTCTCTGCAGCTTGAGCCTCCTCCAGTGATGTCACTGGCCCTAACTGCAGAGGGAAAACATCCCAGAGGATGAGATGAGGGGAGGACCTGGGATACACGGCAGGGGGGGACATACTGCCATTGGTCATCAGTCACCAGCATGCTATGTGTGCTGACAACAGATGCTCAATATGTACAGATTTAACATCAGCCAACCTGAATCTCTTCTTCCAGGCTGGCTAACAATGCTGCTAGACCTCCAACAGTAGAGTGCATTATCTGTGTATGTTCACCTGCTGAAGTATTTACTGATGTGAGTTGAGCAGCGGTAAGCCTCAAACAAATCTAACACTGCTATCTGACTACCCGCTGGTCCAGAGTGGTCTAATTTGAACAACTGTAGCATAAGGCTGCAACATTAAAAAAAAATAAAAAATTTAATTATGTATTCGTCTCGTAGTGAAGGGGTTAATATGCATATACATGCCACTCTCAACCCATTTTATGTTTCAGATCCTGACATTGGATGACAAAGGAGAACAAGTACAAGAGTTCTACAGCACGATTGGCAGTCTCTATCCTGGTGAGAATATGATGCCCAAATGTAATTAGTGGCATTTACAATTCTCATATATCACTTTAGTTTGTACCACCTTTCAGAAGATTATTAACAAAGATCTGTCTATTTGAAACACTTGACACCAACAGGGCTATTCACTAAATTCTGAATTGTAGCAAATTGAAATCTGATTTGCAAACATAAAGCAACACTGTCATGTTTTCTTCAGTGGGATTCTATTTACTGATAGATTGTGTGTAGATTAGCTAAGCAACTGAAATGGAACTTTGCTTAAGCTCTGCCTTTTGTTAAACCTTGCCAACCAGCACCTCCCCACCAGCACCTTCAATGTAAACCCGCATTGCTGCATAAATGTTATTCGGCCCCAGGTACACTCCTGGTCATGTGGTAAAGGGTTGCTACACAAGCCTGCTAGGTATCCTAGTATTCTCATCATTCGGGCCAGAACAGATGGAAACCGCTTCCATTTCTGTCTCCTGGTTGCCTGCACAGTTCTCTGTTAACACGTCTTAGAGTAAACATCCCGTCCGGCTAGGGTCTCCCAGAAGTGGACACGTGGTCACATTTATTCATCAAGCCCAGAGCTATGGGTGTGCAGTTGGCTGTTTCACCCTGTCTGCCGTTCGTGGCAACGTCTGACATTTTGAGGTTGGGAGATGGTAGGAGCACATTGCTAGCCCAAATTTCAACAAGTAGGTGGGGACCAGGATATGCGTTGGGTTTCTGAAGGCCCAATGCCACGGCCAGCAGCTCTGCCTTGGTCCGGGGATTGCTGCTTTCTCCATCGGAATGGGCGACCTGGCTGCAGATACTGAGACGTGGTGAAATAAGGTGACTAACCGAAATTTGTGAGCTATAACTGTCTCCACTTTTATCTGACCAACTGCTGCTCAGTCTAACCTGCCTCCTGCTGGGATTGCTCGGTGTGAACATGCAGAAGCAGGCATGTTAGGTAATGCTAGTGTAACTAGAGGCCTTGGCTTTGGCCAGGAATTGTTTGCTTATTGGTAAATTACTTGTTTTACAACTATTCTTTAAATGTCCTTTGGATAGGTTTGTACATAGGCCTTTGTAGGATGTAACACTCTTCTCATCTCCTGCAGATCACATGACAGAGGAGAGGGAAAAGCTGTTAAATAACATTGAGAAGCTTGTGATGACACGATTATATAAGTCCGTGTTCTGTTTGGATGGTTCACAGGATGAGCAAAAAGATCTGTGTTTTCAAGCTCAGATTAGGTGAGTGACATTCCTTTATAGTGAATGAGCTAAACAAATGGAGGGCAGGCTGGCAGTACCATTGTAGGTGGGCACAATTACAAAGGATGAGAGAAGTCAGGATTATTTTAACTAATACTGTTTCAACCTTGTTGGTTGTTAGAGATGTGTAAAAGCATATGCAGAAGAAGTGCTCCATTAACTGTTTTTATTAAAAAATAGACAGTAAAAGTTGGACTGTTTGACTGTGGCTGTGTTTTTACATCTGAGGTAAACTGAAACTTTTTTTTTTTACAAATTCTTTATTTTTGAAGTGCAGAGCTAAGTACATGCTTTATTATGGATATGTGGCATGATAACAATATGTAAATGTGAAAAATCAGGATATGCTGCACTACATCTTAGATATTGCTCATGTACAATATATTGGGCAATTAAGAAAGTGATATCCAGCAAGTAAAACTATAGACTGCACTTTTTTTTTCTTTTTCTTTTTTTTTTTAACCTAATTTGTGTAATGTTAGACATCTATAGAGTGCAGCCCCCTCCCACCACCAGGTTGGCTAAGCATCATACAGATGAAGTCCCAGCATATAGGCAATCCCGGCATGATCTGCTCTGCTAGCCCCAGGTCACATCATAGGCCTTTTGTGCCCTTGGATCCAGCTCTCCCATGAGCCGACATCAAAGTCCCTGTAGAGTTTGATCCTTCCGAGTTTGAGACAGCAAGGAGATGTCGTCTTCTCGAGGTCCATATGAGTGAATTCAGGAACCAGGTCCAACTCCCGGATTTTGTGGTGTGAGTAGCCAACAGAACTTCTCCGACTGTTTGAGTATCGCAATGGTGGCCTCCTGAGCATGGTCCAGAAATGTGAACTGGGGTCATCCAGCTCCACCATTATTGAATCTGCATGCAAGATAGCGGCCCCACTCCCCCTCCCCTCTGGTGGGGGTAATCCCCCTTATGGGGGCTGCACTCGCCGGGCCGAGAGTTTCTGCACTGGCCCAGGCTGTTCTCTTTGACTGGCAAAGGCTGCCGAAAAGGGGCCTGCTAGTAATAGGGATTAAAGGGACCTATGCAACCTTATTATGGGGCACCACAGTCCGCATTTTCAAGACCGGGCCACGGACAGATGACCCAGACTGCCAACAAGCTGACGACACGGGTTCTCGACCTCTGGGTTTGGTGCAGGCCTTCCAGCGCTTTTGGTCTCAATTCTGGGCTACAATAAGCCAAAGAGCAGAGAAGGATGTTACAGCAAGCTCCACACGGACAAACCCTGGAAGAGTCCTCAACCCACAGCCTGCTTTACTTGGCCGTGACATTGCTCCGAAAGCAAGAAGGAGGAGGAAGAAGAAGCGGGCACCTCAATCCCGGGGGCTCAGCACTGCTGGCAGCCACAACTTACCTAAGCCTCAATCTGACCAGGGTCGACCTCGCTTGCAGAGCTCAACCCCTCGACCAGTGTAAGCTATCTCACAGGCCTGGGGCCAGATGGGAAGCATACCCACGCATGGAACTTCTGCCTTGTGCCCGAGTCTCGCTGGCTCCATGACAGCTCTACACTCCATACAGCACGAACCTGTGAATGGGACAATTAGCCTCTATGAACTCTCGGTGTCCACCGTAAGCTTGCCGATCAGCGGAGTAGGCGGAACGTGCATTTTGTACTGTGTGCTTGCATATGCTCTGAGTCCCCTCTGAGTTCAAAAGCCATTTGCCAAACTTAACATGTCTACCATTACTAAACTATACACAGTTGTGCTTCACCTAGCATGTCCATCTGTCTCAGGTTAACTTTAGTTCTAGAACTTTTGGCTTTACCCAGACGCCAAGTTGACAGTGGCAATATAACTATTAAAAATGTCAGTTAATATAGCGAGATATATTCCCTGTTTTCCCTTAACTCCCCATTTACATGTTCCATATCGTGCTCATGTTGTTATTTTTATTTTTACGTTTTTCATTCTCCTCACCTGTCAAGATCTCTTTGAGATTACTCTACTAAGGCATACCAATACACTCTGTCAGTTTAGGCACTCTACTCTTCCTAATACTCCTGACTGCTACTTTACTGACATTGTGACCAAGCATGTTTTATTGAAGTGAGAATCTCACTCCTTAGCACACAGTGCTTATGATAGATCTATATACACCTACTGCAGTCTTTTGGTTTTTACCTTCTACACCAGCTGCTCGTATAAGCCTGTGTTATCTCAAATAGTAATGGTTATGCCTATGTAGCTAGCTGTACTTACCAGGGATACAGATCAACGTATTGCTCTGTAACTTACTTGGCCTGGTCTGTCTCCTGGCTATGCAGCTCACTAATGTTGGTAAACACACAGCCTGTACACTGCATATTAGCTAGTTAGAAGAGACCAGCCACGTTCCTACTCTGTCATATCATAAGGCAAGCTACTGTTCCCTTTATGTTATTTTTTTTTTGTTGTAATGAAGCTTAAGAAAGAATCCCTATATACTTACAAAAAAAGTGCAATGTTTTATTATTGCCATGTGATCATATGTGACTATAAACCTGGTTGCCCCAGCTGTTGTGGCAGTGCACATCCTCCTGTTATTTATCTGCACGAATAAAATAAAGAATTAAAAAATAAATATATATTAAACATATGTATGGACTCTGATAAAACCACCTCTTCAGGCAGAGAATTCCATATCCTTATTGCTCTTGCTGTAAAAAAAAAAAAAAAAACCTTTTCTTTGCCTTAGATGAAATCTCCTTCCTTCCAGCCTAAATGTGTGACCTCGTGTCCTATGTATAGCCCTGTTTATGAATAGATTTCCAGATAATGGTTTGTACTGGCCTCCGAATATATTTGTATAAAGTTATCATATCCCCTCTCAGGCGCCGTTTTTCCAAACTAAAGAGATTTAAATTTTTTTATAGTAAAAACCAAAGGAAAAAAAGGGTTACCTGCGCTCTCTCCTTAATCCCTATGTATATTTAAACAAATGGAGGTAATTTAGTTACTCCAATGGCCACTGGAGTGAAAGCCCGCCTGCCAACATCAAGTCAGATCACCCTATACGGGTCCTACTCTGACCCTTCACCTTGCTTCCTTGAGCCTCTGGCAAAGATATCTCTAATGACACAGACATTTAAATTTTTTAACCTTTCTTCGTAACTAAAATGCTCCATTCCTTTTATCAATTTTGTAGCTCGTCTTTGCACTTTTTCTAGTGCCATGATATCTTTCTTTAGAATAGGTGCCCAAAATTGCACAGCATGTTCAAGGTGTGGTCTTACCAGCGATTTATAAAGAGGCAAAATTATATTTTCATCCTGAGAATTTATGCCCCTATTTATACATGACAAAACCTTACTGGCCTTAGCAACTGCAGATTGACATTGCATATTGCTGCCTAATTTGTTGTCTATAACAATTCCCAAATCCTTCTCGTGTGTGGTTATCCCTAATTCACTACCATTTAGGGTGTAAGTTGCTTGTGCATTCTTGATCCTGAAGTGCATAACTTTGCATTTCTCTACGTTAAATTTCATCTGCCATTTTAGTGCTCCATCCCCAAATCTATCCAAATCCCTCTGCAGCAAAGCCATATCCTGCTCACATTTTATTACTTTACAAAGTTTTGTGTCATCTGCAAACACTGACTGGCTTTCAATGCCTATTTCAAGATAATTTATAAATATGTTGAATAGAAGTGGTCCCAAAACAGAACCCTGAGGGACACCACTTTTGTCCAGCCTGAAAATTTACCATTAATGACAACTCTTTGTACTCTATCCTTAAGACAATATTCTACCCAAGAACAAGAATATTCATCTAGACCAATTTATTTTAGTTTGAAGACTAACCTATTGTGAGGAACCATATCAAATGCCTTGGCAAAATACAAGTAGATTACATCCACTGCAACAACCTGATCTATACTTCTACTTACTTCTTCTTAGAATGCAATTAGGTTGGTTTGACATGATCTATGTTTCATAAAACCATGCTGATTATTGCTAATAACAAAGTTCTTAATAACAAAGTTTCCTTAATAGCCCTTCAAATATTTTCCCAGTCACAGAAGTTAAGCTTACAGGTCTATAATTTCCAGGCAAGGATTTTGAACCCTTTTTAAATATAGGAACGACATCTGCCTTCCTCCAATCCCCTGGTGCAATACCCGAAACAAAAGAATCTTGAAAAATTAAATACAGAAGTTCACTTATTTCCCCACTTGGCTCCTTAATTACTTGTGGGTGAATACCGTCAGGCCCTGGAGCTTTATTTACAATAATTTTCTTTAACTGCTGTAGCACCTTGTCTCGAGTCATCCAATCACAAGTTATCTGCAAGTTTTTTGCAGCAATCATTTTCATATCTCTTGCCATAGGATCCTAATTAATATATACGTTATTTAAAATGTCTGCATTTTCCTGGTCTTCATTAGCTAACAGACCCATCTCTGTTTCCAGTGTACCTACACTTTCATTTTTTTTATTTTGTTTTTAGAATTGATGTAGTTGTTCCCTTGTGAGCATCTGCTGATAAATGCAACTTTTTATTTTTTTATTTTTTGTTGAGGGGAAGAAGTGTCTCCATGACTCACTGAAAACGTTTGAGATCAGGGCTTCTAAATGGCCCCTCTCTCCATATTTCTCTATAGACAAATTAAATTGTAAAAAAAAGAACAAGGTAGACCATCTTTTGCTTGCACAGACATATGGCAACATTTTGAAAATACCACCCAAATTGTTGATTATTTGCTTGCTTTGATCATTCTTATACATTATGATCCTTCTAATTTGTTGCTTAATGTTTAGGTCTTTAGTTTGGGTCACTCCTAAGATGCTGCAGCTTTCCCTTCATGAAAGTAATAAAGAAGCCAATGACTTAGTACTTTCTGCTGTCACCAGTGAGTAAAATCTTTCTCATATTTACCTTTCTCATACATCATATTTACCTCAGGGGAGCTCTAGATGTTGTAAGACCAATACACTATCAATGACCAATTTTTGCTAATTCATGATGTAAAGTTGTGCTTTTATTAAAGACATAAAGGCGAGTATAATGCAGGTATCCATTGGCTGAATGCGCATGCTCAATTCTCAATGCTTTCCTATGGACACTGGCGTCTTCTCACTGTGAAAATTACAGTGAGAAGCGCCTCTAGCGGCTGTCAATGAGACAGCCACTAGAGGCTGGATTAACCCTAATGTACGTAGCAGTTTCTCTGAAACTGCTATGTTTACAGCAGGCAGGGTTAATCCTAGATGGACCTGACACCCAGACCACTTCATTGAGCTGAAGTGGTCTGGGTGCCTATAGTGGTCCTTTAAATCTCTTTAATTTCCCTTAGCAGCAAAGAAATATAAGGTACTTTACCTGAGAGAAAAACAAGTAAGGAAAGTGTTAACGTTAGGAATCCAACATAGACAATCAGTACATCATAATTCACCAGAGAGGGAAATGTCTAAAACATGGGTCTTAGCTGTACTGGTAGAAGCATCAGCATTGGCAACGTTAAACCTATTAGAGGATTGCATAGGAGTGCCATTCCATATTACGGGCTGATGATTACATAATGGGGCCATTACTATTCTGCAAAACTGGATTAATTTAGAAGTTCTTGCTTAGAAAGAGACCTAGATTTAATGGCAGTAAATAACTTGGTTAACCATTGAAACTATTAGCTATATGAAGATCCATATTACTTTTCAGTTCCCCAGTGGTTTAATACAATTATATATTTAAGATAATTCTCTCATATGGTGTATTTAAAATGTTCTTTGCAAAAATTATTCTATATTGTAAAGTGATAATACTTCTGTGAGACACATAATATAAAATGTTACACTCCAAATGTAGCATTTGTAATATTATTGAAAATAAAGCAAACGCGTGTATGCAAAAAGTAACAAATTGGTATGCTCCAGATGTAAGACATGGAAGATGATCTGGGTAACTCCAGTTTACCATGTTGACTTGCAAAGTCCATCTCGAAATTGTCCACAGCTTGAATGTGACAAATTTATGTTGGAAGATTCTGCCCAATGAAGAATCTCGTACACTTCATTGTCACCTCTTCAAATCTGTTCCTAAAGCAAAAACTATAAACGCCTGCTGACTCAAATTAATACCTTAAAGATAGATCCAAGTTCTGAACCAAAACAAAACCTAGAATTTCATTATGTGTTTGTTCTTCTGCAATTTATAGGGTCACACCGGCACTAATAGAACTTTAAAACATTTGATAGATTTTGGCTTCATTTATATGCTAAATATTTTTACATGCTCAAATCTCTATAGTTTTTGCACAAAAAATAAACAATTGTTTTGCAGAATGCTGTAACATAAGTCTACTTCCTTAAACACGCCCCCTCGTGCCAGAAAGACTCCTGTATCAAAAGTATGGACACAGTTTGCAGAAGCTTTGATATACCCTTGAGGCTTCCAAGTTTAGCTCCCGTGGATAATTGTATCAGTCATCCTGTTCTTATTTAGCTTTTGGTTTATTTTGTGTGTAAAATTATAAAACCTATCTTAATTGTTTTTCCTTTTTGTTTTAGCTCTTGTGGAAATTGATTCAAAGAGAGCACCTCAAGACAAACTGGCCTGTGTGTCTAAAGCCAGCAACTTCATTTTTAAAGCCATTAGTGTTTCCAAGATTGAGCCAGCAACAGCAGATGACTTTCTATCGTACCTGATATTCACAATTCTCAAGGCTAATCCACCCCGGCTCCTCTCAAATATACAATATATTACTAGGTTTTGTAATCCAAAGAGACTTGTGAGTGGGAAGGATGGGTACTGCTTTACCAGCTTTGTAAGTAGTTTTGTTTTCATAAATTTTTGACAATTGTTATTACTGAAATTGTCCATAAAGGGCATCCGTTTTATAAGCCAAATTCATACTTTCCTGATAAATTTATACAAACCACTTATCAGTCACTGATGGGATAATGGATAGTAGAGCAATAAACCATCCAGCACTTTTTATCATTTGAGCCTCCTTATTGAGGCAGGTACACAAACAGTGTTTCAGCCACACAGAAGGTCTTTGTCAAATTATATACCAACCTTTGCATTCAAAACTGTATAAATTCTTCTAGATACACTTGCACACAGTTTTGTAAGGAGGCAGCCACTAGAGGTGGAGATAACCTACCAAGGTATTTATTGCAGTTTCTTACAAAATGCAATAATTACCTTTTCAGGGATAAGGGACCTGGGACACTACACCCAGACCAATTCAATGAGCTGAAGTGGTCTGGGTGCATGTAGTGTCTCTTTAAGACACTTGACCTTGAAGAATTGATGTTATGAAGACCATTTGACTGATGCATTGTGGGTAAATTTTATTGGTAACAGAACCAGATCCTTGCTTTAAACTCGGCCCAGTGTCTTGTTTTGTCAGGTTGACTACTATAGGTAGGTAAGGAAAAGTAGTCCCTATGTATCTTATGAAACCTTGATGACGTTTTTTTTTTTTTTTTTTGATGGTGACAGAGCCGCTTTAAATGTTAGGTTGGTGATCGTAAAGTCACTGCACACATTTAACCCCATTTTACACAAATCGGAAAGTGTGGGCAGTGCTGAAGAATATGCCTTATGGAGAGAGGGTCACTGTGAAAGCAGTTGTCCTCTGTGAATACAGAATAGGATAACCGTGGTGACCACTCCAGATACTCAGGTTATGCTAAGCTGCAATTCCATACAGTATGGATATTCTCTTGCTTGACCTATCCATGACAGCATAACTCATAGAGTATTGACTCATCCCTCACCGGTGATAATGTGCAGGGAGAATGGGTACCAACAAGGCAGATTATCCTATCAATGAAGAACCTCATTTGAATGGTGGCAGAAAAACACTGGAGATTATGAGGAGCACAGGGAAAGAAGGGTAGTGTAAAGGTTTCTGCTATACGCAGGAGACAATGGAGATACACTGGGAATTGCATTTATTTAGTATCAAACACGGTGGACCTGGTAGTATTAACATGTGTAGTGTATTTGCCAAATGTTACTTGACATATGTCAAGTGGTTTTGTTTAGTGTCCTACTCTCTGTAATTAGGGAAGTAGTCTATATTTTAGAACTGCAGTAGTTTTAAACATCAGTGCTCTTTCACCCTATTTAATTGTATACCATCAGTGGCTGACTTATGAATTGTAAGCACATTAGGAAGATAAAAAGCTTGTATTCTTGCTTTTTTTTTTTAGCCAATACTTTTATTTTTGTCTTGAGTTATTACATATACTCATTAGTGAAAGTATGTTTTAAACAATCCTTTTCTTTCTTTTTGCTACCTTTCTTCAAGTGCTGTGCCATTTCATTCATCGAGAACATCAATGCCTCATCTCTTGGTCTTACCCAGAAGGAGTTTTCTCAGCTGATGCAGCAGGAGAGTTCAGTGAGCAGGACCAACCATTCTGTTATAATACAGGGCACAGTAGAGCAAATGGAGCAGAACAAGGAACAGCTAGCAGAACTACACCGCCGCCAGGATCTCCTAATACAGGAGATTGAAAGACTAGCAATAGAGGTGAGAGAATGGTCTCTGGCTGTTCAAGAAGAAATCCGGAAAGTCATCCAGAAGTTACCGCTGGCAACTAAATGTGCTACAACAAGCCACAACTAAAGGCCACACTCATTGTTTTCAATTATAAAATGGACTTATGCAGAGGTTGTACAGGCCTCCTCGACATTCCAAGCTGCTATAAGAATTCTTTCTATGTGAGCCAAAATATGAAGGATATTCAATTAATGTACACTTAAAAATTTATTCAATGTTATTGTAATACAGTCTACTGAAGAAATTGTACCAGGGGTGTGGATATATGGCCAATCCTTTACCTTACAGTAACTTTTATAATCATTGTCATTTAACATATTTAACTTATGGTATATTTACATTTATTTATTATCTAGAAATTTCTCTGCGTATGTTAATATTTTCATAAGATGTATAATTCAAACCTCCCATGCTCTCCTGTTCCATTTTCAAAATTAGATTAGATGATTTAGGTGTGTATGGGACAGTGCATGTAGTGTTAGTGACAGCATTGTTATTTGAAGAATTGCTAAGCACATCAAATGGAGAGGATGATTGAAATGCACTGTTGACACAGATGTTTACCTGGCACTGCAATTTTGGGCCAACTCTGAGGTAAATGCTAGATTTGGAAGAGTCCAGCGGAGGTTACCAACAAATCCACATGCAAAAAAAGACTGGTATCACAAGACTTTTTTCACTTTCAATCACATTGCATATTACTGAACATTAACTGTTTATTAGCTCCTGACAATGGAATTTATTTCTCTGTCTTTATACTGCCTGGGTATAAAAGATAATACCGTATGTTATTTCTCTTGTTTAAACGTATACGTCCGTGTTAAAAGCGCAATTATAATACGAACTCTTGGCATGCTATTGAGGTTAAGTGCTTAGCCTTAGACAACATGGTTACAAATGTAATCAATTTACAAACTAGTTACAAAAACCAAACGTATATTTGCTCTTTGCCACTTAGTCACACAAATAATGTTCTTTCATGTCAGAGAGGCTTCTGATTATTTTTCCTTTAGTGTAACTTCATATCTGCCCTCCTCTCCCTATACTATACAAATAATAAAAAGGCAGTAACTGACTATAGGGAGGAATAAAGTCATCAGTTTGGCTCACACTAATAGCACGAATAATTCACTAGCTGAGGTACACGGCACACTTTTCAATCTAGAAGACGTTTTGTGAAACTGGGAAATGTAGCTGGGGAGGGGATTAATTTTTCAGAATTATTAATTTACTTATTTAGCAAAATGAAAGATTTGGACAAGGAGAAAAATACAGCAAGAATAGGACAAAAGCCTGGAGCCCCAAGTATGGGTCCTGTAAAAAAGCTGCTGGTCTAATATTGGCACCATTTTATTGTTAGTCCTGAGTCCCCTGTAATACTGAGAGAGAAATAACCTAGAATTCTATCATTTGTGACATAGCACCATATTTGGAGTTAATTATATAACACAGTGTTGTGGGTATTGCTATGGATGCTGGATTTATTGCAGTGGGCTAAATGGTTAATATAGCAAATCTTTGGGTTAACACAGCAGGTGTGGCTCTTGTAATTTCGTGTAATACCCTGAATTGGATTGATGTCCTAGTTTAGGAATTAGGGTTGAACTAAGGGCGTAGAACAGGGCTGGTTTAAGAGAGTCTTAAGTAACTGTGTTGGGGAGAGGAGGAAGGTTGTTTTTGTTCCCCTTATTTTAAGTCCCTCCATACATATTTTGTGTATATCTTATAATTTAATTTAATATTCTATATGTATACCTAACACAACATTAGGTTTAAATAAAATGTTAAAAATGGGGTGGGTGCATTTTTCAAATATTTGCTTAAAATTTTTACACATCCAATGCAACTAAATAAAAAGAGCTCAAAAAAGATTCATATATAAGTTACAACTGTTAAATGCCTAATATGTCTAGGGTCTAAATCATTTTTTGGTAATTAATGATAACCATATATCAACCATACCCCTTGTCCTATGCTTACACTATCGCTAACTGCACACCAGCCCTAAACTTACCTGCATTATAATTCTGAATATCAGTTTATGAGCTATAGTTTTCGTTTGGTCAAGAGGCCTGACAAACCCTACACTTTCCCTAACTAATACAGCATTAACCCAAACACAGCATTAATCCTTACTTTACCCTACATCAAGCATGTCAAACTGAAAGGCTATCACGGGCCATATAAACAAGAATTAAGTTTGTTGCCCCCCAAAACTTCAGTTTTCATACATACATAGGTTTATTTTGAAAAGTACAGTATAAACTAATTTGCCTAATTGACACTGGACGTCCTCATGCTTGTAGGGCTTCAAAGTAAACAAAAGAGCAAATTTATTTTAAGGAGACGTGCATTTGAATATAACCAATGTTTCAGTCCAACTACCTTGACACATTAAAGGACCACTATAGTGCCAGGAAAACATACTCTTTTTCTTGGCACTATAGAGTCTCTAGGTCACCGGGCTCTAGGGGGTGGAAGGGGTTAAATCTTACCTTTTTTCCAGTGCTGTGCCCGGCGCTGGTGACTCTCCTTCTTTCCCCGTCATCGGCTGAATGCGCATTCAGCCAGTCTCAAAGGAAAGCATTCTCAATGCTTTCCTATGGACGCTGGCGTCTTCTCACTGTGAAAATCACAGTGAGAAGTGCCTCTAGCGGCTATCAATGAGACAGCCACTCGAGGCTGGATTAACCCATTTGTAAACAGCAGTTTCTCTGAAACTGCCATGTTTACAGCAGAAAGGGTTAATCCTAGATGGACCTGGCACCCAGACCACTTAATTGAGCTGAAGTGGTCTGGGTGCCTATAGTGGTCCTTTAAGAAAAGTTTGGAAATGGTGAATGTATGCTGTTGCACAGCTGTAAAAAACAAATGACGTTATCTTATGAGTGTGTTCTTCATTTTCGCTGAGATCATCGCTATTGCGCATGTGACAAAACGCTGTGCAGCCAATCAGCATCTCAATGGGGACCATTCAGCGCATCAATGCAGACCCAATCTAACACACAGCCTCCCTAGGACATTCCCCCCTCTTCCCTCCACTCTAATTAAATACACTGTCCCCACTCCCACCACTCTAATTAGGTACACTGCCCTCCCCCAATTTAATACACTGACACGCCTACCACCACTCTAATACACTGCCCCCACCCCCCCCACAATTTAATACACTGCCTCCTCCCTCCCCCAATTAAATACACTGCCTTCTTTCTCCCCCAATTAAATCACCGCCACCCGCCCCCACTTTTCAACACCACACAGGAAAGTTCGCTAAGCCCCTCTTCCCCTACCTTAAGATGAGTCACCCGTCCTCCAGTTCTAGCCCTATGGAAGAACTTTCCCAGATGAGCTGTTTTGGCTTAAATCTTGTAATGCTTGCTTTTAGTTCAATACAATTAGATGTAGAATGAATACAGTCTTTTGAAAAATCTCCCCACCTGTTCTACCGTGTTTCTCCGAAAATAAGACCGGGTCTTATATTAATTTTAGTCACAAAAAACACACAAGGGCTTATTTTCAGGGAAGGGCTTAGGTAAAATTGTTTACAGGCTGTAACCCAGTCAGTCTCCTAAGAAATCTCATTATGGTTAATGAAGATGAACAACCTTTATTTATGATATGAAAAATTGCTTGATTATCAGAAAAACATTGTTCCCAACAGCCGGCCTATAAATGGCTCCAAGCCACTGCAGCAGCTACTATTGGGTATACAGGGCTGGTGCAAGGATTTTTGCTGCCCTAGGCAAACAAAAATTTGCCCCCCCCCTCCATGTGACATCACAATGCCCCACCTATATGGACCAATGCCAGTGCTGCACACAGTGTCTTTTCTCTGAAAAGGCAGTGTGTTTACATTAAAAAGCCTGCAGGGACAGGCGATAGACAACAGTGGTTCTGGTGACTACAGTATCCCTTTTATGTGAGGTAAATTAGAGATTAGTGCCACTAATATACTGGATTGCCTACTTACCACCAGATGAGGACAAGAGGATGATGATGATGATGGGCTCAGCCTAGTCTGGCTCCACTGGTCTGGTGTAGAACACGCTCTATGTAGGCTGTTTGTAACAGTGCTCACAAAAATGAATGAACAGGAAGTAGCTCCATTTTTTGGGGCCCTTTACACAGCTCAATGTTTGGGCCCTCATGACCTGCCCTTACCTCCACCTTTATGGCCCACCCATTAGTTCGCTCACAGGGAGTGGAGTGGAGTGTATGTGTGTAGGGGATGTGTTGTGTGTTACTGTAGAGCAGGGGTTCTCAACCCAGTCCTCAGGACCCCCTACCAGTCCAGGATTTGGGGATTACCTGGGTGTGTCTCAGGTGTTTAGAAAATGGGATAAAAACACCTTAGACTCTAAGGTGTTTTTTTTTCTTTTTCTAAACACCTTAGACACACCCAGGTAATCCCTAAACCCTGGACTGGTAGGGGGTCCTGAGGACTAACGTTGAGAACCCCTGCTGTAGAGGATGTAATGTGTGTGTGTTCACCGCCAGAGACGTCATCGTCAGATGCACCTTGGCAAAGGATAGGGGGCATATCATGGCGGCCCTGAGAGGTAAGACGCCACTGACCTTCGAAGAAACACAATTGACCTATCAAGATCTTACCAGGAGGACTCTACAATGGCGCATATCGCTCACACAAGTCACGCAACAATTGAGAGCTGTAGGCATAGCTTACCACTGGTGAACACTGGGCACGCTACAAGCAACCCACAACGAAACCACTCACTGCCCTGGCGGACGCACCTAAGTTCCTTTCATCACTGGGACTGGTAGAACCACGGACTGGCCAGAAACCAATGCCCTGGGCAGGTCAATGGACCCAGCCACAACCATACCCTTTGTTCCAAGAATGGGAGCTGAGAGGCAACTGGGTATCTGAAAGCAGCTGGCAACGGAGATATTCGTGTCTGCTCTGAAGACAATTGACTGAGATCTGTGACGAAAATGTCCTAATCTTTTGTTTTCTATCTTTTCTCATATGGTTTCTCTTTAATTGTGTTTGATTAATAATGTATAGAACATCACTCTACAGAGGCTCCTCTGAGATCTACACTATAATTCTACCATATCAATGTTAAACCAAATTTAATCAAACATTAATTGTGGAAGTAGTGCATTTCTCCCAAATGAGGAGGCAAATGAGCCTAAAACGTCTAGGCCATAGTGCCTCACAAAAGTGTTGAAAGCTAACCAGGCTATAGCCCTACAAACTTCTTCTGTAGAAGTATCTGCCAAAGAGACCGAGACAGCCCTAGTCGAGAGAGCTTTAACACCTTCCGGCACTGGTTTGTCAGTGACTCTGTAAGCTTTCTGAATCGCAGAAGTAATCCACCTCCTGAAACAGAGGCAGATATACATTTATGGTAAAGGTACAATAAAAGTGTATTTGACTTACTAAATTCTTTAGTAGGATCAAGGTAAATGCGTAAAGACCTAACTACATCCAAAGTATGCCAAAGGGATTTTTCTTCAGAAGAAGGGTTTTCCAAGAAAGAAGGTAGGATAAACTCCTGGTTCAGGTGATATTAGGAAAGGAACCTTTTGAATAAATATCGGAAACAACCTTAGAACCGCCTTATCTACAGAAAACTGAGTAAAAGGATGATCAGATGAAAGAGCTTGTAATTCTGAAGCTCTTCTGGCTGAGGTGATGGCATCAAGGAAAACACGTTTCAGAGTTAAGACCCATAAAGATGAAGAATCCATAGACTCAAAGGGTGTGCCTGTCAGACTATGCAAAACTGTAGGCAAATGCTGGGATGAAGTTTTTAACAGATGGTCTAATTCTCATCGCTCCTTTGTTAAAACGTTTAATCGTAGGATAGCCAAAAAAACGCAGATAATTTTATTTTAAGAGAACAGAGGCTCAAACCTTTATTCACACCATTTTGTAAAACTTCCAAAAAATCAGGAAGATTAAGGGTTTCAGAAACTTTCCTGCGATCAACATAAGCTTTCTAGATTCTATCGTAACCTTTTGACTTAGTGTGATTGCTAGCTTTGAGAATAGTCTCCACTACATAATCTGATAAACCCTTTAGCTTTCAGAAAGTTCTTCTCAATCTCTAGGCCTTCAAACAGCATCTTGCAGGAATTTCGTGGAGAACTGGGTCCTGTGATAATAGGTTCCTCTTGATTGGCAGTTCCCAAGGAACTCCTTGTGACAGACTTAACAGCAATGGAAACCAAGGCCTCCTTGGCCAAAGAGGAATAATTGCTATCACCTCTACATTTTCCTTCCAGGTCTTTTTGAAAGTTATCTGGATTAATGGAAGGAGAGGGAATACATATCCCAACCAAAAATTGCATCTCTGCGTTAGGGCATCTTGACCTGTGCTCTTGGGTCAAATCTTATGGAATAGAAAAAAGGGGGACTTGTTTGTTTCTGTAGATCACCATCAGATCTATATCCGGTATTCCTCAAAGATCGCATATCTGCTTGAACGTATCCTAACTCAGCTTTTATTCTATTGGATGTACATGGTGTCGGCAACATTGTTTAGTTGTCCTAGAAGATGTATTGAGCTCCCCAACCTTTTCCACTAGCATTTGTATTCACTAATTTCAACTCTGGGTCCCTTAGCGGGAAACCTCTCCTGATATTTTCTACGTTCATCCACCACTGAAGAGACATTATTACTTCTTCTGTGATCCAGATCTTTTGTTTCCATTCTTGATCTTCTTGATTGAACTGCTCTAAGAAATCTTTCGGTGTTATTCTCAGGTTCCAGTGTGCCCACCTCACTAAACCGATAATACTTGTTGAAGTTTATAATCCAGCCGAAATCTTGTGTCGAATGACTGTCTCTGTATCTCTTATCAGGCTTCCCTTTG